CTATATCTTAATAAATCAGATATAAAAGAATCTTTCTATCTATCTACCTATCTATCTATCTGCCTACATAACATTCATTTCTATCCATTATCTTCCTATTATGTCTTACCCTCTGATTTTATACACATTATTCGTCTTCTTCACACACCATCTTCTCCTCTCCTCCTGCCTCTCCTTCCCTTCGCGTTCCCCGTCTACTCCTATCATCTCATTTTATCTTTATTCCCTTCTTTATCTCACCATTTTTTCACATTTTTTTCTTTTATCTTACTTTCTCCGTTGCTTTCACATCTACGTTATTCCTAATACTTCCTATCTCTATTTTCTTATTACTTTCTCCCTGTTACTTTCACCTCTACTCCTATCACCGTCTTTTATCTTTATTCCCTCATTCCATTTCCTTTATTTTATATTTTCCACTTCCTTTCACATCCCTTACTTTACTTACTCGACATTTCATTCTCTTTCCTTTCTTTATTTTCTTCATACCACTTTTTCCTTCTCTCTTCTTCCTCTCCTTTTGGCATATCACTTTTTTTTTTCCTTTTGTCTCTTACCTTCCCTATCCATACTCTCCCCATTTATATCTACCCCTCTTATCTCCCTTTATCCCTATTCCCTCATTCGTTTCCCCTCGGTCTTCCCAGGTACCTCCCATACGCCAGTCACGTGTCAACAGAGGTCCTAATATATAGCGTCTTCGCCTCCGAGATGAGAAGGAGGAATGAGGTGGGGGGGGGGGGAGGGGAGGATGAGGGAGGGGAGGGAGGATGGAAGATAGGAGGGAGGGGGGAGGGGGGAAAGAGGGGAGAATGGGGGATGGGAGGGAGGATGAAGGAGGGAGAAAGAGGGGAGGAGAGAGGAGGGAGGTTGGGGGGAGGGGAGGATAAAGGGGGGGGAGGAGGGAGAAAGAGGGGAGGAGAGAGGAGGGAGGTTGGGGGGAGGGGAGGATGAAAGGGGGGGGAGGAGGGAGAAAGAAGGGAGGAGAAAGGAGGGAGGATGGAGGGGGGAACGACGAAGGGGGGAAGGAAGGAGAAGAGAGGGGAAGGGGAACAGGGAGAAAGAAGTAGAGAGAGAAAGACGGGAGGAAAAGGTGGGAAAAGGAAAGATGAAAGTCGGGGGGGGGGAGGAGGGAGATAGAGGGAGGGAAAGCGGAAGAGGGAGGAAGAAGGGAGAGGAGGAGGAGGAGGGAGGAAGAAGGGAGAAAGAGGTTGAGGAAGGAAGAGGAGAGGAAAGAGAAAGAAGGAGGAAGAGAGGAAAAGAGTGGAGAATTTAGGACAAGGTGGTAGATGTGGACGCAAGGGAGATAGGGAGGAGAAGAAGAAGGAAGGAAGTCGAATGGAAGGAGGAATAGGGAGGTTCATAAAGCAAGTAAATAAGAGAGAGAGGAGGAAGGAGAAGGTGGAGGAAGATGAGAAGGAAGAGGAAGAAGAATAGGAATAAGAGGAAACAATGAAGGAAAACAAGAAAGAAACGAATGGAAAATAGGCATAAGAGAAAGGAAAAGGGAAGAGAGAACGAGGAAAGGAAGGAGGGGAAAGAAAGAGAGGAGATAGAAGGAGGTGAGAAGGAAAAGGAGGAGAGGTCTGAGGAGAATGAGGTAAGAGGAGAGAAGGTGAGATAAATAAGGAGAGAGAGAGAGAACAATGATGGAATAACAAATAAAGTGAAGCGAAAGGAAGGGAAGAGGCAAAGGGAGGAATAAAAGGAAAAAATGAGGAATAAGGAGGAATAGGAATAATAAAAATGTGGAAGAAGTATCAGAAGATGAAAAGAAAGAAACAGAAGGTAAAACGAAATAACAACAAAAAAAAGAGTCGTAAAAAGGAAGACAGTAAAGAATGAAAAACAAGTAAAACAAACAAACAAACAAAAAGCACGGTAAATAAACGAACGACAAAATGAAAAAAACAAAAACAAAATCAAACAAACAAAAGCAAACAAACAAGAAGACGAAGAAGACAAACTAAGAATCAGGAAGAAACAAGAAAGGAATAAAACAGAGGGAATCCGCCCAATCCAGCAATATATAAGATCGACATCAATTAAGGCGTAACCCACGTCATCGCCAGCCACGACGTCTCAGACTCTCAGGCGGGCACTCCAACGCCCTGGCACCGTGGCACTCTGGCATCATGACAGCCTGGTACCTTGGCACTCTGGGACATTGGCATCCTGGTACTTGGCACTCTAGTACACTGGCATCCTGGTATCTTGGCATCTTGGTACTCTGATACATTGGCATCCTGGTACATTGGCACTCTGGTACCTTGGAATCCTGGTATTTGGCACTCTGGTACTTTGGCTTCCTGGTACTTGGCACTCTAGTACATTGGCATCTTGGTACCTTGGCACTCTGGTACTTTGGCATCCTGGTACATTGGCACCTTGGCACTCTGGTACACTGGCATCCTGGTACCTTGGCACTCTGGTACATTGGCATCTTGGTACCTTGGTATCCTTATACTTGGCTCTCTGATAGATTGGCATCCTGGTACCT